CTTAAATACAGCATTTACTTTCTGAGAAGTCTTAGAACTCGAGAATTTAAGTTCGGGACAAGAGGGATGTATGTGACCCACTTTAGAACAGTGGTGACAAATCACAATCGGGTCTTTCTTGAAAGCAACGTCGTCCTTAACATGCGTTTTACGACTTCTGACAGCTCTATGGGCACAACGAAACCTATCCGCTGCTTGGGCCATTTCCATTGTACTGACGCACGTTCGTTCTTTGAGAAAGATGCGAAGGTCAAGAGGGCAATTACTCAACAGCTGGTCGCGTATCAAAACGTCAAACAACATTACTAATGATTAACCAGTAATCTTAATACTGGGTCATTCTCGTAATTAACTGAAGGTAAGTCTCGTTTTCACCAACTTCACTTCTTTGAACTTTTTACGATAGGAGTCTGCGTCAACGTTATACGCCTTCAACAACGCGTCTTTTAACTGACAGCAAACCTCCAAAACATCGTCTAGTAAACTTACGTAAATTTACATGTCTTACCTCCCAAGAGTGAACCGAGATAAATATGGTAATCATTAGAATCCCATCTCAAATCTACGTAAGAAATCATCAATATCGTCATTACCATCGGTGAAGTTAGGCATTTTAAATTTAGGGTAATGATCACGATTATCATTTAGTGAAGGGTTCTCGGGTCTCGCTGCTTATCAGCCTCGTTCGCTTCATATTAGCGCCGTCTTTCCCTCATCTGAACTTCTAACTCTTCGCGTTTCAGATCTCGCTCCTTTTGTCTCTCCTCTCGTTCTCATTGCTTTTCTTCTCTTTCCATAATTAAACTCTTAACTTTGGGGAGACACGAATTCAGCAATCCTGGCACGAAACGAGGTAAATCCAGGAGAGCACAAACAACACTAAAAGCGGGACCACCCTACACGACAGAAGTCACGACAGAACTTATATGTGGCCAATGTTATTAGGCCAATGTTGTGCTGATGACAGGTTATTAGAAGAACTGTTGTAAGATGATTTGTACAATGAGGGCACTGTGGTGGAATTTTTTTTTCTCTTGCGCGACAACGCCACCTCCTCTCTTCGGTCCTTCCTGTGGGCTGTGTTCCTCATTTCAATTATTGGTTTATGTTTATTGTTTATGTCTAGTATGGTCCACTCATTTTGCCACATATGTCTTTTTGCTTTTATAGACACAAAACACCTGAGATCATACCGAACTATGTTAAGGTCCACAGATCACCACTTGACCCGGCTAATTTGCCAGCCTGCTCATTATCACAGATGCCATATTGGCCTGGTACCCACATTAGCTTGCTTGATTTGTTGGCACCATGTAGCTTACAAATGATAATACCCAGTAGTTTATTTTTGGTGGTTTCTAATGATTTAATGGCTTCAAGTGAACTTAATGAATCTGAAAAAATAACTATTCTATCGTTTACATAAAATTAGAGAAATTTATGTTGAAAAACGATCGCAACATTAGTACCTGTATGAACGTAAAGTATTCTACGGTATGCTCTCAAATACAGTTATTTTGAATCTTTATTTTTAAATGATTATATGTTATTAACTTGTTTCTTTAACTTTTGAATGATGCAATACCTTTATCTTATTTCCTTACATCTTAATAATTGTTATATTATCCTCTTGTTCCTTATGTTTCATTCATTCCCAAATAAGAAGGCACCTATAGATAAATATGTAATTGCAAAACATTTTGTATGTTACACTTTTCGCTTTTGTTTCCAGTTGGCATGTATGTCCTGCTTAATATAAACTACATGGCTAGAAATAAAAGAGAAATCCCGATTAATTTCGTATATTTTAAGTAATTTTATTCAGGAATGCTTGGAGCGCTGAGAGGGATCATCTTTTCTAGATCAGACATAAATTCCCTACTGGTCTTTAAATCAATATGAATCACCTTTCTATTTTTATAACGTCTCTCTTATCTTTCCAATAAATCTAACATAAAACTGAATGGCAGAACTCTAGTGATAAGAGATGAACTGTTATGAAGTTGAACGTCCCCTATGTGCCATTTTTTGAAAGAAAATTCTCATCCACAATCTCAGTTACATTAATCTTGATAATTTTTTTCATACTGACATGAAAGAATATCAAAACAATTCATATACATAGAGCCTTCTCATAACAAGTCTGATTTAGTGAAAGTATTTGATGGTAGGAGTTATTATTCAAGTCAAAATTATTTATATTGTAACTAAGAATTCTGATTTTTTGTGTCTTTAGTAACAAGAATTTTGTCTGACTTTTTTACTTTAAAGTTATGTGAAGTGAAACACGTATTGGTAAATTCTTTTGATGAAACTCCGCCATAATTTATATGATCATGAAACTATTTAAAATAACAATAAGAAACATCAAATAAACAATAGAAAACGAAAGTCTTTGAAATCAGCATTTGACTATAATTATATACATTAATTAATCTGCGATACTCTCCTGCATGGAACAAAGCAAGAAAAGAAATATTCTCTGATGCAAATATAATTCTAATTTATTTCCATCATAAAGTTCTTCAGTAAAATAAAAGGTAAGGAAAAAGCACATGTCTTTTTGTAAACCTGAAACTTTAATTTTAAAATATGTACTGCACATCATTTGTATATTTACAGAGCTAAAAAATTCTATGGACATGCAATTATTTTCAGCATAATTGACAGAGCATATAAATTCCCTGACTAAAAAAATAACAATAATTCAATATAAAATTCGAAAAAAATAAAATGAAGAGGTGCATTCATGACCCCAAATATTAGCAATGGTGTGATTCCAGCGTAGAAAAATTAAAAATGATAAACAGAATTAAAAATAAAAACATGATAAAAGTGAGACCCCTTGTATTTGGCCAACAAATCATATTTATACAATATTGTACATAGTGCAATGGACTAAGATGGCTTGTTAAGACAATAAAATGTAAGTATTTGAAAATTTGAATGTGATCTCTATCATCATACCACAGAAATTTGAACATTTTCCTCATGTCTAAAAGATTATGCGAATAAACAAAAGAAAAAAAAATATATATATATATTAATCTCAAACCTAGAGAAAGTTACACACATTTTTTTTTTATTATGTAATTAAACTTATTATGAGTATCTTAACAGTGAAAAATATATATCATTACATCAAAGTGCCTCACTGGCTATCTATCCATCCATGCACGGCAAAAAATCAATTAAACAAATTCAATAAAACACTGTACACAAAAAATAATAACTGATAGACAACAGGCTTCTCTAATGATAACACTGTCAAACCAAAGGAAAATGAAAAAGATATTCTGAATTGTGCAAGCTTTAAGCTCTATAAAGCTTGAGACAAATATGTTTTATATTTCATATATGTATAAGTATATATGTATATACATACCCTATACATATGTATATATTTACATGATATATATGTATATATATACACATATGCATATACATATATGCATGCATATGTACATTCATATATACACACACAAATATATATACACACATATACATACATATATATACACACACATATATATAGAAACACATGTGTATATATATGCATATACATATATACATATACATACATACATATACATACATACATACACACACATATATATATACAGGTGGTACGACAGCAATATCAACACATGCATAGTATTGCACAAGCTGTCTGCAGCTGGGAAGGGGAGGGTGGTGTGTGGATGGAAGACTAAGCTATATGAAAAAAAAACTCATTTAAAGAGTAACAGCAGACCAAGCTTTGAGCAGAAATGGGGTAATGGAAGTTATTGCTTTGTACTATATCCTCAGCACTGTTGTCTTGGTCCAAATTCCTCCCTAAAACAGTTGCTATCACATCCTTCACTGTAAGGCTAAGTACCAACACCGATGCAGTGTGGAAAAAGAGGAAGGGGGGAGATTACAATAATAAAAAAAAAAAGTGAAACAAAAATAATCATGAAAACTTGGGCATAAAACTCTCGTAAATGTGAAATATTGGCAAAAGTAGATTTTTTCTCTCTGTATTTTTTTCAAAATACTGATCTCAATGCATGACTTCTCTCATGTTCAGGCAGCAATTTCTCACAACAACAAACAAACGACGCCCACGCTGAGCTAGTCCGCTGTTAAAACACCTTTAACAAGTGGAACAATAACGCATTTTCTCTCACATGCAAATTGAATTGGCTAATTAAAGTTGAATGACTAAAAAGACAATAAAAAAACAGTTTAACGCCTACTGCTTGGTCTGCCTAATGGGAAAAATGGCAGTTGTTTGACTTTTGGCACTTGGGAAACCCATTATCATGAATGCAGCTGACTCCAGCATGTCCGGCACATGCATTTAAAAGTGTCCAGCGATATATTTATATAAAAAAAAAGAAGAAGAAAAAAAACAAAACAAAAAAACTTGGCAACTAAAAGAGAGGTCACTACTATTTCCACAGGTCAATGACCCTATCCTCAGGGTTATGTTTAACAAATTCTTTTCTTTTTTCAATTAAAAAAAATACGTAACAAATGGTCAAAAGAACCTGTAGGATTTGTCATTGATCCTGCTTTATTTTATGAAGCAGTTTGTGTGTGATGACAGTTTGAACTGATGGCGAAGGCTATGAAGAATAGCAAGTTTGATATCCTCTTTTTGAACTTAAAAAAAAAGAAAAAGAAAAAAGAAAAAAAAAAGTATAAAAAGTATCAAATTTCTACATTTTTTACAGCTATATCATTACAATAAGCACAGGTACTTCTGTGGCCCAATAAAAGTTATTTAAAAATGCAAATAATTAGATCTATACAGAAGTAATGAACCAAAAAACAAACTTTTGAACATGCTTCAAAAAGAAGTGAATTTTCTTGGAATATATCTTAAAAAGGGTGCTTTGCATAGACAATTTTACATATATATATATATATATATATATATATATATATATATATATATATATATATATATATATATATATATATATATATATATATATAACATTCATGGAAGAACTGATTCACAGAAGCCTAATAGAAGAAAACTTGCTATATCTACAGCACTGTAAAACAAAATAATAATAAAAAAAAAAAATCAGTGTTTCCTGTGAAATATACTGGCACGTGAAGGGCATGAGAGAAAAAATATATAGTTTAGTGCATAGTAACGAGTGTAATGACTGACTCTACCAGTTCTAAAAAAAAAAGGATAGAAAAATAGATTGAGCTGAGTGTTACCACTTTGGGCGCTTGAAGTGCCTTAACTTTGCTATACTTCCCTAGAAACACTGATGTTCAAAAGTTTTTTCGCACATCAAATAAGATTGTCATGATTGCACTCAGGGATTTGTTTAATCTTTCTTTTCTCCTGTCAATAATCCTACATCTGCAAGACTATATGGTTGAATTATTAGTCACCACTTTTGTTAAATACCACTGGGGGATGGGGGAAGGAGTGGGGTGGGGAGGTGGAATATTGGTCTGTTATAACTTAAGCACGAATTGGCTGTGTCGTTAGTTAAATAGTACATACTGGATTCCAACTGGGAGTGATTAAATGTTTTACGACAATGAGTGACAGTTCTTTTGTTCTGGTGACTACTGATTCACTCCATGCCTACTGAACACACAAATATCCTGCTCATTGAGTGGGAGGTTGTTGTCTAACTGTTAATATCATCAATAGTTACAAGCTTCCATGGGCTGGTTGGTCCACAGGTTATACACCAGTACTATTGCAACAATGCAAAATGGTCAAATACATAAAACTATATTAAAATCACAGTATAAGATGAACTCTTCAAGAGTTCTAGCTGACAGACTTTTTCCCTCAGTCTTGTCTGTCCACACGAGTAGCATTCAGTTTCACAAAATGGCCATAGACTTTAGCTGTTGCTGAAATCTAGCAGTCCACTTAAATCCATGTACACAGAAACTTGCATCCTCACATATCACAAGTTAAAAATGTTCTAAAAGAACAGTCTATGGAATATAATGCACTTTGCGCTTGCCACCTTGTGGTCCCTTGTCACACTACATTCCTTTGCACTGATCGCCACCTCTACTTTGGCTTGTGGCTCCCTGTCTGCCTCTGTCTCCTTCGATCTCACGCCTATGAAATACATCACAACACGTTTCTGTTCATCACAACTCCTTGGTTCGCCATGTCCTTTCAGATCAATCAGAGGTCCAACATAAGTTCCAGGGAAAGACACATTTGAACACGAAACAACCCTCTTCCGTCCACAGAAATTTAAGACTATAAACACAGTTTAAAAACACAGTTCTAAAAGTGGAAGGGAAGAAGGCAAACACTTCACAGACCACCAAGCACTCAGACAGTTGTTTCACTGCGTGCCGCAAGCGCGTGAGGTGTGTGCGACGAGATTTCGTTGTAATACTCGTGAGCCATTTCTGGTGGGTGAGGATGGTGATGCTGGTGTTGCTGAGGGCCTCCATTGCTACTGACACTGCTATGGCCACTGCTCCCTCCGTAACTGCTGAATCGGCCAGGCTCTAACACCGGGACCCCAACTGTCTGCTGTGGGTGGATGCGCCGCCCTGCGTGCATCTGGGCCCGGTTGTTCATCATGTGATACTCGGGGTTGTCCATTCCGACCCATTGCCCAGCTGTGCCGTTGGGGCCTTTGTATGCACGCAGATGGTCATTTCGACGTCCATCTGGGAAAAGAAATGAAAGATATAAGCAACCATCCAACTAACGAAAACCCATTTTCAAATGACGTATCACTATATTCAGCAAAATCCTTTAGAAAATCAACTTTTCATCCTTAAAAAAAAAAAAAAAAAAAAAAAAAAAAATCTCACCTGGATTATCTGCCATGAGATCCATATAATGTTGGTGAGATGGACCCACAGTAGCTAAGCCCGATGGCTGTGGGGAAGGCATGAGATAATCATCCTCATCCACAGGCAAGTCCAGCCTGAGGTCTCCCACCCAGCCATAGCCAGGCGCAGAAGGAGGTGGGCCATGGCCGTTGAAGCACTCGTCGTCACCTACATCTGCATCTGCGGAAGGCAGGCGGACATTTAGACGACTCACTTTTTAAGATAACATGAAGACTTCTCTGTTAGGGTTTGAGCTATGAAACCATTATGGAGACTACAGAGCATGTGAAGCTACTTTACTGGTATTAATAAATTGATGTTTAATATTAAAAGATGAGAGAAAAGTGCAAGGCAATCATGGACAAGCTTTGGTGAGTCATTTGATAAGTGCAAACAAATATGAGAAAATAAGAGTGCAAGAACTAATATGTATTGTATAAGCTTCCTCAGAAAAATATGAATTTCTTATAAGCAAAACGTGCAAGGAATGACATATCACTTTAACTATGAAGAGGGTATCTGATTATTTAATCTATCAGTATGACCATTAACTACTCTAGAGCTACAGCTGAGAATAATCATTAAAAATACACAGGCTTAAGACTGGTATCCTTGTGAGAACGTGCATAATGCATTGGTGCAGGTGCAAACAAAACAGAAAACAAAACTTGCAAGTGAGACGAGAAAAGCATTTGGTGCCAAGATGCACGAGAGACACACCTTTACCTAACATCTTGAGGGGGTCAGTGCAGTAGCGCGACGTGAGAGAGTCTCCACGCGGCCTCTGCCCAGGAGACCCGGCGGCTCCTGCCTCGAGGTGGGCGTATTTCCTTTCCCGCTGGAGGTTGTGGCGGTTCTGCGGCGACTCGGCCCTGTCGGATATGTATTCCGCGCCGGCTCCGGTGCTGTAGCCGCCCATCGTCTTCTTCACGGGGGTTGTTGGGTTGGAGCTTGAGGTTGAGGACGTGGTGGTGGTCCCAGTGACTCCGACGCTGCCGGTGCCATACTTGGGTTGGAGGTACTCCTCGGCTGCCATCACGACGCCATCACCCTCGATTGCCGACGAGAGCGACCGTATGAGTTCCCTCTCATCCTGGGGCGTATAGGATGGCAGGCGCATCAGTTTGTCTCCGGGGATCACCAGGAACCTTCCGGGGTCCCGCGCCATTTTCGCGAACTCCTCCGCAAGCTCCCGGAAGCTCGGCCGGCTCTCAGCGTCCAACATCCAGCAGCGGATCATGAGCATATAGACGTCAATGGTGCAAATGGCGGGCTGGGGCAGGCGCTCGCCCTTCTCCAGCAGGTCGGGGACTTCTCTGGCCGGGATGTCCTCGTACGGCCGTCCTCCGTAGGTCAGGATCTCCCACACCGTCACGCCTGCAAAAGGAAATTAACATGTTAGTAGACTGATAAAGGAAACCCACTCAATTACATCTATTATTCATTATTCTGAATAGCACTAAACTATTAAGAGCCGAATAAACAAAGGAACAAAACCCAATTCCCAAGCCTACTCACCGAAGGCCCAAACATCGGACTTGTGAGTGAATATCCGATGCTGAATGCACTCGAGCGCCAGCCACTTGATGGGCATCTTTCCACCGGCAGCCTTGTACTCCTCTTCGTTGTAGTCCAGAAGCTTGGCAAGACCAAAGTCCGTGATCTTGACGCAATTTGGAGTCTGAACCAAGACATTCCTCGCTGCCAAGTCTCTGTGGACGAGCCGGCGCTCCTCCAGATAGGCCATTCCGCGGGCAATCTGGGTGCACCAGTTGAGTAAGGGCTTTGACCCCACCTGTGGGACGGAAGGAATGTTAGACGAGTTTTTAAATAATCGAAACTTGTATTCTAATGAGTCGAAATATGTTAATTCCATGTCAGCCTAACAAAACACATTTCTGAGTACAACAGGACTTTATTTTCATTTTTTTTTTACCTTATCCTTGTTATTGCGAACGTAGTCAAGCAGGCATCCCAAGGGCATAAGCTGCGTTACCAGCATGATCTGGGTGGTCATGCACACTGCCAGGAGTTGCAGGAGGTTCGGGTGATCCACAGAGGCCATGATGTATGCCTCCTCCAGGATTTCCTTGTTGACGTTTGTTCCTGTACCTGCAAAGGACAATGGAGGGATAAATAAATACACAGTCAAAATTATACTTACAAATGTAACTAATATAGTTTTCCTTTTCTTTTTTGCATCACTTGAGTCAACTACCCTTGCTCTGGGCGGGCCGGACACTTACCCTCGCGAAGCACCTTGATGGCGACGGGGATCTTGACATTCTCGCCCTCCGGCACCCACACGCCCTTGTACACCGTCCCGAAGGCGCCGTAGCCCAGGATGCCCCCCTTGCGCAGCTCCGCCTCTTTGACGATGCGTAGCTTGGCCAGGTTGGGCTTGATGTTGGTCGGCTTGAGGGGCTCGTTGTCGTCGTAAGGCATCATGGTCATGGTCATCTTGAGCGCCGCCGCCTTCGTCTTGTTGCGCTGCCACCACAGGTAGCAGAACACGGCCAGGAAGATGCACAGCAGGAAGACGCAGCCCAGCGTGCCACCCAGGATGGCGGGAATGCTCTCCTCGTCGCTGAAAGGGGCGAGGGAAGTAATGGTTAGTTGCTGTATACTTTAAGGGATAAAGATCATGGCACTTTACATTATCAGCTTCGTTCTCTTTCATTCTCATCGTGTCTCTCTACTTACATAAGGAGCAAGGGGTCTTTGCCACAGTACGGGTCCGAGGCATCTTCGGGGAAGATCTTGTAGGGCAGTTCGGGCGGGCAGGAGGCCGTGCAGTTGAAGTTGGTGTTGTTCATACCTGGCTCGCCGTCAAGGTAGATCCGGTAGTTGCGACACGCCGTGCAGTGGGACTCGAGGGGCCCCGTGCAGCCGTGCGAGCACTCGGGGGAACACTGTAACGAATATGGCGATTAGTTGGAGTTACCTGCAGTTGTGCGGGAAAATCAGTGAAAAGGTAAAATTCGACCAGAGCTGAGTATTTGTCTAAAAACAATACACAAGTACACAAGGTATGGCTGACTCACCCTGAAGCACTCATGGAGCTTCTCGTCGGCGTAGTGGTCGGCGGGGCACTCGTCCTCGCAGTGCTCGCCGCGGCGGTAACTGACGCACTCATGGCAGACGCTGATGTGGAACCCGTTGGCCGTGCAGTTCTTGCAGCGCGGGTGGCAGCGGCGGCAGATGGTCTTCCCGGCGAGGCGTCGCAGCGCGCCCGTCTCCTGGTGGGCCACCCACTCAGAGAAGTAGCCGGCGGGGCACGCCTCGTTCTCGTGCAGGCAGTACTCCACCTCCAGGTCGCCGTTGATGACGGCCTTCTCGCACGAGTTGCAGCCGTTCTGGCCGATGGTGTTCTCGGGGCCCGTGCAGCCGTCGACGCAGTTCTCGTGACACGCGCGGCACATGCCGTCGTCGTTGAACTTGGTGTCGGGGCAGCGGTCCACGCAGTACGGCCCGTCCATCACGTTCTTGCAGCGGTCGCAGTTGTTGGAGTCGGGCCCGTTGCAGCTGCCGTCGCACTCCGAGTGGCAGAAGCTGCACTCCTTGGAGCCCATCTGGTAGATGCCGGGCATGTTGCAGTTGTTGACGCAGCGCTCGCCCAGCTTGAAGTTCCTGCACGAGAGGCACTCGTCGTCGAGTGTGCCCCAGCAGCCCTCTTTGCTGCACTCGCTGTGGCACACCAGGCCCTCCTCCACGCACTGCTTGCTCACGCGGTTGTTCTGCAGCAGCAGCTCCGAGCTCGAGTCGCCGCTGTTCTCGATCAGCTTCCTCCAGTCGATATTGTCGACGAAGCACAGGTCCTTGTTCTCCAGGATGTAGACCTTGCCGGAGCGGATCTTCCGCAGCGAGCGCAGGTTGAGGCTCTTGAGCGACGTCTTGACGATGTACAGCGACGAGAAGTACTCGGTGAGGTCGCGGCCGCCGATCACCTCCAGGTTGCGCAGGAAGGACAGGTTGGTGAACTCGGGGTGCGACGCCTGGATGTTGATGTGGCCCGTCACCTCCTTCAGCGTGCTGAACACCTCCAGCTTGGACGGCCTCATCTTGGGGTACCGGTCGCCGAAGGTGAAGTTGTCGAAGACCTCCTGGAAGCCGTCGAACGAGTGGTCCAGGATGGTCATGGAGCCCTGGATGATGGTGCAGCCCTTGAACTTATCGATGTTGCCCGCGTGGATGTACTGATCACTGAGGCACGTCTTCGGACACGGCCCGTTGCACGGCACGCACTCGCCGTCCACCGCCTTCTTCCCCTTCGGGCACGTCCGCACGCACGCGCCGTTGTCCCTCAACAGGTGCTCCGGACAGCTCTTGACGCAGGTGGCGCCGTACGCGTACTTCCCGTAGGGGTTCGTCACCCACGAGTACGAGATGGTGTCATACTTCTGCATGGGCGGGCACTCCTGCTTGCACTCTCCGTCGTCGTAGAAGTTGCGGCAGGCCTGCAGGGGAAGCAGATTCACTTAGTTCCTTTGGTCCCTTTCCCTCCCGTCTCCTCGCCTCTCCTAAATACAGGTTTTGTAAAACAGCACTTAGCGCGCGCACACTCAGCACATGCTTCCCGCCGAACAGGCTCTCCCCGACTTAATATATGACGACTGCTTGCTGGCAGCCCTGCACCTGCCGACCCACCTGGCGGGCGTGGACGCGCTTCCCTAATTGCTAACCGGTCACCCACTTGCTTCTCTTCATATTCAAATGAGTCGCTAAGGACGTGATTCCACGTTTGGGTTTTGTCCCGCACTGCCCGCCCTTGGCCCTCGCGAGCAGCGCTCCCGACAGGCCCTCCCTCCGCTGTTAATAGTGTGTGTGTGCGTGTGTGCGTGTGTGTGTGTGTGTGTGTGTGTGTGTGTGTGTGTGTGTGTGTGTGTGTGTGTGTGTGTGTGTGTGTGTGTGTGTGTGTGTGTGTGTGTGTGTGTATGTGTGTGTGTGTGTGTATGTGTGTGTGTGTGTGTATGCGCGCGTGTGCGCGTGCGTGTATGCGTGTGCGTATGCGTGCGTGTATGACCCAACTAATCATATATTTCAGTCTATAAAGAGGTAAACCTCCCACTCAACCTAAAAAGCAGCAGCTCACTCACCAGGCAGTCGCTCTGGGTGGGGCCGGAGCAGCCTCCGGCGCAGAAGAGGTGGCAGCAGTCCCTGGGCCCGGGCCCGTAGCAGCGCCCTTGGTGGCACTGCGGCGAGCACGTGAGCTTGCTGAACTTCTGGCAGTTGTGCGCCCCCTCGCCCCAGCAGCCCTTCTTGCACGAATTGTGGCAGCTGCACACGCGCTGCGGCTCCGTGAAGTTGTAGACGAAGATGTACTTGTAGTTGGGGTCCGTCATGATTTCCTTCCACTCGATCGTCTCCATGTGGCACAGGTTGTAGTTGTTGAACACGCCCACGCCGCCCTCGAGGATGTCTGCGGGAAGGAAGCGGTTTAAGGGGGGGCAGAGAGAAGGGGGGGCAGGGAGAGGGAGAGGGAGAGGGAGAGGGAGAGGGAGAGGGAGGGAGAGAGAGATAAATAGATAGAAAATAAACATTTTCTCACACTTAACACCGGAAGAAAAAGCACAAGTTTACATGGAGAAATAGAAAGACGGTGAAGAGAAAGAGCTTAAAATGCGAAAAGGAAGAGAGAGAACAATGCGAAGTGGTGTGGTGTGCGTAGAGGGGGAGGAGGGGGGTCAGGGGCGTGACGGAGAAAGTCTCTTGAGTGTCACGAGAGACGGCACACACACGCAGCCACGTTTAGACAGCACACACACACCCATATGCGCACGCACACCCGTACACGCCCGTAGACACACACACACACACACACACACACACACACACACACACACACACACACACACACACACACACACACACACACACACACACACACATTAAATACAACACAAACACACTTCGACACTCCTGGACACCCCCCCCCCCTTCTAAAAATATATGAAAGAAAGAAAAAAAAATCTTAAAACTCTCCTCCCCTGTTACTCCGCGCGCACACCTCGGGGACGACGCGCCATTAGCATCGGAATACGAGCCCACAGGGGAGGCTGCCACCGTGGAAAGGGGCTGCGGAGTACAGGGCAATTTGCATACTTCTTTCTTTTAAAATTTACATGGGTGGGTGGGGGGGAAAGGAAGGAGGGAGTGAGTGAGGGAGGGAGGGAGGGAGGGAGGGAGGGAGGAAGGGAGGGTGAAGGAAGGAGGGAGAGGGAGAGGGAAAGGGAGAGGGAGAGGGAAAGGGAGAGGGAGAGGGAAAGGGAGAGGAAGAGGGAGAGAGAAACAAAGACAAACATAGACAGTGGAGGAGAAGAATTAACATCAACAACCATCATTATACTACTACTACTACTACAACAAAAATACCAAAAACAAAAAGAGACGCAGCGGGAAGAGAAAGACACAACATCTTCGCGACCTCCGCTTTTGAATCGAAGAAATCAGTTCGGATGTCCAGTAACCGAACGGGGGGGGGGAGGAGGGAGGAAGGGAGGGAGGGGGGAGGGAGGGAGAGGGAGGGAGAGGGAGGGAGAGGGGGGGAGAGGGGGGGGAGAGGGGGGGGAGAGGGGGGGGGAGAGAGAGAGAGAGAGAGAGAGAGAGAGAGAGAGAGAGAGAGAGAGAGAGAGAGAGAGAGAGAGAGAGAGAGAGAGAGAGAGAGAGAGAGAGAGGACTGTTGCCGCCTCGGAAGCATGGAATAACGAGAAACGTAACTCCAAGCGACTCCTGTGAAACGAGGGAGAAAAACCCCGGCTGTGAGGCAACGTCTTCGGGGCCTTAGTATCACCCGCCGCAGAGGGACGACGCAGCACAGCGCCTGGCGGAGGATCCCTTGGCTTGCCAGACGCACACAAAGGGCGTGAGGCTGGGAAGAAAACTCTCTCTCCCCGAAGAAGAAGAAGAAGAAGAAGAAGAAGATAATGAAGCAGAAGAAGTAGAAGTAGAAGAGGGAAGAAGAAAGAAGAAAGAAAAAATATCTTTCTACCGACGCGCGGAAAATCTCTCTCTCTCAAGCCCGAACATCTCTCTGCAACCGTCCGAGCCGTCAGAGGAAATCCGCATGCACAGGAGCGACAACCTCCGCCGCAGGGAGCGAATCTCGCATGCCACGGCCTACCCTCGCCGGGCATGCCAGGGGGTAGGGGGAGGATGGGGGGGGGAGGGGAAGGGGGGGAAGGAGAATGGTAGTATGAGTGAAAGAGTGACAGTGAGTGAGCGAAACGGGAGGGGGGGGGGTAAGAGTGAGGTAGTGAAAATAGGAATATGGACACGAGAGACAAGACAAAGATAAAACAGACTGACATTCAAAGAAAGACAGAAAGAAAGAACATGGTTACAGATTCTCACACACACACAAACACGCATTCATCAACACACACTCACACACTGCATACTCAATCAGACAGGCGAGCGGTGCTGGCGCGAAGTTGTCGGTGGGCGGCACGTCCGATTCGCGGAGTTTGTGTCGCGTCCGTAAACAGTCACCCCCCCTCCTCCTCCTCCTCTTCTTTTTCTTCTTCTCTTCCTCCTCCTTCTTCTCCTTCTCCTTCTCCTTCTCCTTCTCCTTCTCCTCCTCCTCCTCCTCCTCCTCCATGCATCCCGCGCCCCGCATCACTTAGTCTATCTGTCGCACATAATGGAACAAGAGTCGCTTCACAGCCCGATATGTCTCTCGGTGGGCGCGTCCTAATGACTCTATCCATCTGTCTCTCTCACACACAAACATAGACATACCTGTCTGTCTGACTGATAGACAGACTGATAGACAGACAGACAGACAGACACAGACACACGCACACACAAAAAAAATCCTTGCTCTTATAACCGCCCGTGTACCATAAGTGTACCTTGCCGCCCTCGCCCTCTTCCTCCACCACCTCCTCCTCCTCCTTCCTCCTCTCCCCTCCATTTCTTTTTTCTGCCTTTCTACTCTTTCTTCTTCCTTCCATCCTCTTTCTCTTTCTCTTTCTCCTTCTCCTTCTCCTCCTTCTCCTCCGCCTACCGGCCACACCAACACCTGCACTCGGCCGCCTCCTCCAGATTCCAACGTAAAAGGCATAATAGGCAAGGCCGAGTGACTAAGCCAAAGGAGGAATGCGAAAGACCGATTGAGAAGAGGAGGAGGAGGAGGAGGAGGAGGAGGAGGAGGAGGAGGAGGAGGAGGAGGAGGAGGAGGAGAAGAAGAGAGGAGGGAAAGATCGAGAGGGCGACTGAGAAGAGAGATGGAGAGAGATGAAAAAGGAGAGAGAGAGAGAGGGCAACAAAGAAGAGAGATTGTGAGAGAAAGAGAAGAGGACTGTGAAGAGAGGAGGGGGGGGGGGGGAAGAAAAGAAAGGTTGAGAGACAGTGAGAGGAAGAGGAGGAAAGGGTTGAGGAGGAAAAAAGGGGCAAATGAGAAGAGAAAGAAAGAGGAAAAGAGGTGAAGAGACGAGATGGGAAGGAAGGAAAGAGGGAAAGAGGGAAGGAGGGAGGGAGGGAAAGAGCGAAGGCGGTGAAGGAGGGAGGGAAGGAACAAGGAAGGAGGGAGGGAGGGAGGGAAGGGCGTCGACCTTATTAAATGCATATTGTAATGCCCAAAGTTCTGCTGCTCCACGTGAGGCCTGAGCCCTGTGATGGATGGTCTCGCCTCCTCCCTCCTCCCCTTCCCTTCCCCCCTCCCCTCTCTCCCTCACACTCAAAAGAAGGAAGAACGAACAGATAACAAAGACAACGTAAATACGATACAAATAACATACAGACAAAAAAAAAAAACTGAAGCTAAGAAAGAAAACGAACCTAAAACTACTTTGCAAAACAAACAAAAAATAAAAAAAAACGTAAGAAAGAAAACGAACCTAAATCTACTACTACAAAACGAAGAAAAAGAAAAAAAAAAAAGCTCACACAAGCTCCCTTACCTCTGAGCGCGGGCATCTCGAGTGTGTGCATCTTGGAGAGCGTGACGAGCAGCGCAAAGCTCTCCTCGTGGACGGAGAGCTTGAAGAGCGTCTGCCCGCGCACGATCTGCAGCGACGGCAGCACGATCTTCTTCACGTCCACATGCGAGATCAGCACGTAGCCCGTCACCTGTGGGGGAGGGGGGAGGGGCTGAGTAAATACGGGAATGAGTGAGCTGGGGATGGGAGAGAAAGTAAGTTGGATATGGGTGAGTGAGTTGGATATGGGTGAGTAAATTGGATATGGGTGAGGCAAGTTGGATATGGGTGAGGTAAGTTGGATATGGGTGATACAATAAGTTGGGGATGGGTGAGTAAATTGGGGATGGGTGAGAGAGTAAGTTGGATATGGGTGAGTAAGTTGGATATGGGTGAGAGAGGAAGTTGGGAGATGAATATGTTAGTAAATGATTTTGATAACGGATGGAAATGGGGTATAAATAAGCAAATAAATAAATAAATGAATGAAAAACGAGTATTGAGAAACTGTTATGTAAACATTCCCTGAGTAAATGGGTGAATGTGTAAGTGATGGGAAAGGACTATACATCAACAAATGAGTAAAAAAAAGGATATAATAATAATAAGGTAATGAGTAATATAGTATCTATCATTCTAGAAGTCAAGAAACTGAATCTATACTGAATCTAGTCCCCCCCCCATTACAAACCCCTACTTAAAAAAAACATCAAACAAATAAATAAATAGAAATAACGAAAAAAACAAAAACAAAACCAAGTAATAGAAAACAAAAGAAATCTAAACCTAATCTAACACATAATCTCTTAAAAAAAAATAATAAAAAAATAAATAAAAAAAATAAATAGTAAACAAAAAAACAAAACAAAAAAAAACTCACCTCTCGAATGTACTGCAGGAAGGAGAGGTCGAGGTTCTCATCCTGGAGCCACGTGAGCTCGAGGTTGCCGTCCACGTAGGTGCAGTTGATGTAGCGGTCGCGTAGGTTACGGTAGTGGTGCTCGCGGTTCGACGGCACCGACATGCGCCCCGTCGTCCCGATGCAGACTGCGGGGGGGAGGGGGGGAAGGGGGATTGGTTAGCTTGATGCGTAAATGATGCGTAAAGTGAATAAAGTAACTAGGGGTAGATACGAATATGTAAATAAATAAATTAACTAATAGATAAATATTCATACATAAATCTATACACACTGGGGGGAGAATCGAAGATAAATGCGTAAATAGGAAAGATGATTAAACTAATAGGGGGTAGACAAGAATAAATACATAAATAAATAAATAACTACACACTAGGGAATAATCGAAGATAATAAAATGACAGGATAGGGAAGCGAAGAAAGTGTTAAGAAAATAGATAATACAGTTTTTTTTCTCTTTCCTTTTCTTTTCTTTATCCAATGAACGAAAGAAAGACTAAAAATAGAAAAGAAAAATACAATTACAAAAGAGAGGAAGTACCGACATTAAAACAAACTTTTAAATCTTCCTCGGAACGTCAGCATGAAACTAGATTAGTAATGATGCAAGTCAGTCCACTGGCAATTTGAACGGCTGAGGAAAACCGTGTCAAAGACATTAAAAGCCGATCCATCTTGCAGAGAATGATACACTGCACTGCTAAAAACCATATACCATTAACACATCTTCATTTGCAATTTACACCACAGCTGACTGGCGCGTTAACTACATCTAATTGCATAATTTGGTCGAAAGAAAAGGGGGAAAAAAAAAGAAAAAAGGCAACTAAGGAAAATAACAGATACTTTAACCAAATAGAATTAAATATACATTCTTTAGAAAACCATAATGAACCACAGACACGATTACTTCTTGGCTCTTGGGAATTACACGAACCCTCATGCAAGGTATTTTCCAGACTCAAACTCTCAAGAAGAAGAAGAAGAAAAAGAAGAAGAAGAAGAAAGGGAGGAAAAATGAGGAGAAAGGATGAAGAAGAAGAAGAATCGGATGGAGAAAATGATGATGAAGAAGTGGGAAGAGAAATGGATGAAAAAGAAGGAAAGGAAGGAGAAAAGAGGAAGAAGAAATAGGAAGTGAAAAAAAAATATAGATGAAGTTGAAGAAAAAGAGAAAGAAGGAGAAAAGAAGAAAAAGAGAAAGGAGAAAAGAAGAAAAAGAGAAAGGAGAAAAGAAGAAAAACAGAAAGAAGGAGAAAAGAAGAAAAACAGAAAGAAGGAGAAAAGAAGAAAAAAAAAGCTCATTGTGTAACCAGGAATGAAAAGTAGTCAGGTGAACGCAATAACCACCCCTTCGAAAATGCCGACCCACAAAACCCGCCTCGCCAGAACTTACAAAACTACTTCCGAGAACGCAGGGAAACGGACGCGGCGACAGCTGACCGAACGCGGGATCGAGACAGATTCCTCAAGAGAAACGAGGTTTTTGGGGGGAAAGAGCAGGAAGGCTAATGAATAAATAAATAAATAAATAAATAAATAAATAAATAAATATTATACATATTCTTTACTGATTCCGGCCAAGGTCTCTTTCACCCTAATTCTTCTTTCTCTCTACTCTTTTCCCACTATCTCTTTCTCTCTTGTTCTCCGGCACAAGCAGTAACCTCTTCATTATCATTATTGTTATTTGACTGTTAAGATTTCCTTTTTCTTTTTCTACTCACAATCGTCTAACGCAAGTCCCCCTAAGTTATTGTAAATCGATCACTGGAAACCGTATTTACTGACAATGCAAATTAACTCTCTCTCCCTCCCTCTCCTTTTCACCTTCCCTTTCACATCTCCCTCTTTCTCTCTTTCCCTCTCCCATCTATCTCCCTCTCCCTCCTTCACTCTCCTATCTCCCTCTCACCTTCCCTTTCACATATATCTCCCTCTCTCTCGCTCCCTCTCCCATCTATCTCCCTCTCCCTCCTTCACTCTTCTATCTCCCTCTCACCTTCCCTTTCACATCTATCTCCCTCTCTCTCGCTCCCTCTCCCATCTATCTCCCTCACCCTCCTTCACTCTCCCCATCTCCCATTTTCCTCTCCCTCTCCCATCCCCCATTTTCCTCTCCCTCTCCCATCCCCCCCCTTCCCCCCCCCGCGACACGCACCAACCTGCCAATCAGCTGAAGCGTTAAATAGGAGACGCGACCCGAGCTGACCAATGGGGTTGCGCGCTGGCCCCGGGCGCCTCTCAATCCCGTGTCGGGTTACAAGGCTTTATTTACCCTGGCTGATACTTAATACTCCGCAACGTCAAGATAAGAGTTGCTTATTCAATTAGTTGCCGATGACCAAGGGCCGATATAGAGGGATGGCAACATGGCCGCCGAGGAATATCTGATTGCCTTTTTTTTCTTTTTAATTTGATTTTTTTTACTTTTTTTTATTTAATCCGATTTGTTTGTTTTTTTATTGACAATATCCTCTTATCGGGTTTAATTAACCTTAAACATTACTCAACTGTTACAACTTGTTCTCTTATCTACTCTGGCGTAACTATGCGCAGGGAATTTTAGGTGGAAAAAAAGGTATAGAAGAAAAAGTCTGCATAGATTAGGGAAAATACCTTGCACTTCAGACTTACCTGGCTTAAAGATAAAACAACCAAACTAATGGAAAACGAGAAATATAACAAAATCCGAGAGCTTACCTCTGACAATCCAGGCTTGCTTACCTACGTGGCTACACCTTAAAGCATAAACAGCATGCAATGAGTAAAACAAAACCCGAATGAGGGCGTGAATGAGTGCGTGCGTGCGTGCGAGTGCACCACACCCATCGCCCCCACTCCTCCCCCGCCCACCGCCCCTCGCCCTGGCTGCGCACGCCCGGAGGACCGAGCGAGCGCGAGCCTTGAGGGGCGGGCGGGCGGGCGTGCGGGCGTGCAGGCGCTACTTACTCTTGCCCTTGCCGAAGTCGGCGGCCCTGTCGTCGAGCGCGAGGGCGACCGCGACGCACACAGCCAGCAGGAGCGACGATCTCTCGAGCACTCGCGCCATCACCTTCGCCGCCGCCCTTCTCACTTTAGACTTCTTATATAAATATATATATACTTTTCTTTCCCTCGCTCTCTCTTTCTCTCTTTCTTCCTCTTTCTAAATATATTATCTATATATCTCTATATACTCTCTTTATATATGGCACTAGGAGGAGTTTTTTGTGGTACGAGTTCGTGAGCTCAGCCCAGCGACAGCGCTCCGAGCAGACCCCCAGACTCATCATGCATCTCGGGGGGGGGAGGGGTCCTGAGGCTGGGGTGGTCGTCAGGTGCCCAGGGCAGCGTCCGCCTTCATGCTGACTCACACTCGCCCGCCACACGCCCATGCCCTGCTCTCCAGGCGCGCGCCCTCTCGCTCCGCCCTCGTCTGCGGGCCGGAGGCGACGTCACCATCTTGTTCGGCATCTGTTTGTGGCACCGCAAAGGGGGGGGGGAGAAGGGGAAGGTTAGAGACATGCTACAAGACTCCGGCGG